GGGAGGGTGAGGGCTAGTCTGCGCCTTTCAGGGACTTAAGCCTGGAGGTTGCTCCTGCTTGAGGGCCATCCCTCTTCGAAGCTTTCAAGCTGCTAAAAATTGGTCATGTTTTTCAAGGTCCCTGGAGAAGGGGCTCCCCACCCTCTTTCCGCTCGAGTACCCCTTTCAGCTCTGAGAAGATACTTTTAATCCTCTGCCCTTAACAGAGGCCGTTGTAGAAATGGGAGGGATTCCAGGCCAAGGAAAAACGATTCCAGGCGATTCCTCAGAAGGAAGTAGTTTTGGGCCCCGGTGGTACCTTCCTACTGAGTGACGTTAGGTCGCTTGCTTCTCTGCGCCTTGGTTCCCTCCTCTGAGCAGTGGGGCTAATTGTGCCCAGTGCCACCAGAGGAGGAGCAGAGCTGAGAGGCCCGTGTGTGGTCCCACTGGATGTCACCTCTCCTGCCCTCCCTTCCATGTCCCCACAGTCCCTGGAAGAGAGGCCTCCACTCCAGCCTCGGCCCAGTCCCCCCAGGCCCTCGGAAGAGCTGCCGCCTCCCCCAGAAGAGCCTGTTGGCTTCCACGAGAGAGAGGCATCCACAGGTACAGGCTCAGGCGTGGAAGGCTTCTGGGTGGTTCCCGGGGGCCCTCACTGCACAAGCATGAGCTTCCAGGTGGGAAAGTAGAACAGCGGCCACAGCATCTGTCTCCACTCACGGTTCAGTGATGGGCCTTAGAACCGTACATCGATTTTATTTTTACTGCCTTAACTTTTTTCCTTTATAACTGAAATCCATTTAAATATTGATCAGCAAGGGGCACCTGAGTGGTTCAGTCGGTTAAGCGTCTGACTCTTGGTTTTGGCTCAGGTCACGATCTCACGGTTCCTGAGTTCAAGGCCTGCCGTCGGGCTCCGTACTGACAGTGCGGAGCCTGCTTGGGATTCTCTCTCCCTCTCTGTCTGCTGCTCCTCTGCTCACTCACTCTTCCTCTCTCTCTCTCTCTCTCAAAATAAAAAAATAAACTTTTAAATAAATAAATAAATAAATAGGGGCAGCTGGGTGGTGCAGTCGATTGAGTGTCTGACTTCGGCTCAGGTCATGGTCTCACGGTTTGTGGGTTTGAGCCCCACATCGGGCTCTCTGCCGGCCGCATGGAGCCTGCTTCAGATCCCCTGTCCCCTTGTCTCTCTGCCCCTCCCCCGCACATGCTCGTTCTCTCTCTCTCAAAAATAAACATTTAAAAATAAATAAGCGGGGCGCCTGGGTGGCGCAGTCGGTTAAGCGTCCGACTTCAGCCAGGTCACGATCTCGCGGTCCGCGAGTTCGAGCCCCGCGTCGGGCTCTGGGCTGACGGCTCGGAGCCTGGAGCCTGTTTCCGATTCTGTGTCTCCCTCTCTCTCTGCCCCTCGCCCGTTCATGCTCTGTCTCTCTCTGTCCCAAAAATAAATAAACGTTGAAAAAAAAATCATTAAAAAAATAAATAAATAAATAAGCAAATAAATAAATATTGCTCTGCAAAATGTGCTGTGATAGCAGAATGGCTTGAATTTCTTCACCGTTTACTTTTTTGAACACACGATGGTCTCACGTAGACAAAACAAGAAGCATGAACAGGTACACCGTGAAAAGCCTCCCCTTTGCCCCCATCCCTGTATCACCCAGTTTCCTGCCAGATCGACGGCCTCTGTTGTCAATGTGTCGCATATCCTCCCCGAGATACGTGTCCCCCCCTCCAACCCTGCCCATTTTTCCACAAACAGCAGCAAACTCTGGGCTGTTCCGCTCTTGGCTTTCTTTCCTTCCGGCATCTTAGAGCTCGTTCCACATCAGAACAGAAAGTGGGTCCTTTTTCACAGGTGCGTAGTATTCTTTCCCAGGGCCCTGCCGTATGCATTCGACCAGTCGCCTGCGGATGGGCACTTAGGTGGTCTCTTGCTGTGACAGATAAGGCTGAGACGAACTGCCCTGCACGTAGGTCATTTTGCCTGCGTGTAGGTTTGTGAGAGAATTTCCGGGAGAGGAGATACTGTGGGCAAAGGGTAGGTGCATTCGTAACTTTGATCTTTTTGCGAAATTGTCCTTTGCGGTCCTCCCCATCTGCTACCCGGTGAGGGCGTGACTGCCCGCAGCCTCCTTGGCCCCATGTGTTACCCATTTAATTAGCAGCTATTAAGTGCTTACCATGCACCAAAAGCCTTCTCTACCCCGAGGTTATGAAATAAATTCTCTGGTTTCTTCTAGTCCTGTGGTTTCATTTTTCACACTTAGATCTCTGATACGTTTGGAATTGTCTGGGTATGTATGTATCACGGTGGACCCTCCTTTAAATTTTTGCAGATGGCAACCCGTTTGTCCTGACAGTCTTCTTCTTTTTTTAATGTTTATTTATTTTTAAATTTTTTTTTAACGTTTATTTATTTTTGA